AGTTGTAAGTATAAAGATCCATTAAAACAACTGGAGGCCTCTTGCACTTCAATGTTGCGATGTGAAAATCCTGGCGAAATAAAAATGGTTTTACCAGATATTGTTCATCCTGATCAGACAGGTTTTTTACATGGACGATATATTGGAGATAATATACAACAATTACTTGAAACAATTGAACATTATGAAACATCAAAGATACCAGACCTGGTCTTCATAGCAGATTTTGAAAAGGACTACTTTAATTTCGGTGAATCTCTTATACAATGGGTTAAAGGTATATACAGCAACCCAGGATGTAAAACAGTAAATAATGGCTACTCAGAAAGTTTTGAGCTGTTAAGAGGCGTCAAACACGGCTGTCCATTGTCTCCATATCTACAGTGCCTTGCAAAAGTATTCATCCCCCTTGGCGTTTTTTCTATTTTGTTGCATTACAACCTGTAATTTAAATGGATTTTTATTTGGATTTCATGTAACGGACATACACAAAATAGTCCGAATTGGGGAAGTGAAATGAAAAAATAACAAATAAATAACGGAAAAGTGGTAGGTGCATATGTATTCACTGCCTTTGCTATGAAGCCCCTAAATAAGATATGGTGCAACCAATTACCTTCAGAAGTCACATAATTAGTTAAATAAAGTCCACCTGTGTGCAATCTAAGTGTCACATGATCTCAGTATATATACACCTGTTCTGAAAGGCCCCAGAGTCTGCAACACCACCAAGCAAGCGGCACCATGAAGACCAAGGAGCTCTCCAAACAGGTCAGGGACAAAGTTGTGGAGAAGTACAGATCAGGGTTGGGTTGTAAAAAAATATCAGAAACTTTGAACATCCCACGGAGCACCATTAAATCCATTATTAAAAAATGGAAAGAATATGGCGCCACAACAAACCTGCCAAGAGAGGGCTGCCCACCAAAACCCACGGACCAGGCAAGGAGGGCATTAATCAGAGAGGCAACAAAGAGACCAAAGATAACCCTGAAGGAGCTGCAAAGCTCCACAGCGGAGATTGGAATATCTGTCCATAGGACAACTTTAAGCCGTACACTCCACAGAGCTGGGCTTTACAGAAGAGTGGCCAGAAAAAAGCCATTGCTTAAAGAAAATAATAAGCAAACACGTTTGGTGTTTGTCAAAAGCCATGTGGGAGACTCCCCAAACATATGGAAGAAGGTACTCTGGTCAGATGAGACTAAAATTGAGCTTTTTGGCCATCAAGGAAAATGCTATGTCTGGCGCAAACCCAACACCTCTCATCACCCCGAGAACACCATCCCCACAGTGAAGCATGGTGGTGGCAGCATCATGCTGTGCGGATGTTTTTCATCGGCAGGGACTGGGAAACTGGTCAGAATTGAAGGAATGATGGATGGCGCTAAATACAGGGGAATTCTTGAGGGAAACCTGTTTCAGTCTTCCAGAGATTTGAGACTGGGACGGAGGTTCACCTTCCAGCAGGACAATGACCCTAAGCATACTGATAAAGCAACACTCGAGTGGTTTAAGGGGAAACATTTAAAATGTCTTGGAATGACCTAGTCAAAGCCCAGACCTCAATCCAATTGAGAATCTGTGGTATGGCTTAAAGATTGCTGTACACCAGCGGAACCCATCCAACTTGAAGGAGCTGGAGCACCTTCGAAGTGGTCGGCATGTTATGTAAATCAAATGATACAAACCCCTCAAAAATACTTTTGCAAGCCACTGTATTTATTATGGCCATTGAAATGCTAGCTATGAAAATCAGATCCAACAAGAACATCAAGGGGTTAGAAATCCAGGACTTTTAAAACTAAAGTGTCAATGTATGCTGATGACTCAAGTTTTTTCTTAAGTCCGCAATCTGGATCCCTGCATAGTCTCATTGAAGATCTTGATGACGTTTCTAGCCTCTCTGGACTAAAACCTATTTATGACAAGTGTACCATATTACCTATGGTAATATGTAATTATTTTGCACTATGGCCTATTTATTGCCTTACCTCCATAACTTGCTACATTTGCACACACTGTATATACATCTTCTGTTGTATTTTTTACTTTATGTTTTGTTTTACCCCATATGTAACTCTGTGTTGTTGTTTTTATCGCACTGCTTTGCTTTATCTTGGCCAGGTCGCAGTTGTAAATGAGAACTTGTTCTCAACTGGCTTACCTGGTTAAATAAAAGTGATTTATTTTTATTTTTTTACTATTGGATCGTTAAAAGACAGTGTTTACACTACCTTGTAGTTTACCGATAAAATGGGCGGATGGTGTGAAGTAGAGATACTTGGTATTCACATCTCAAAAAATATAAATGAACATACCACTAATTTCAATAGAAAGTTTGCAAAAATAGATATGATTCTGCAACCATGGAGAGGTTAACTATTTGGTCCTATAACTGTTTAATTACTTACTAATGGTGAAGCCTACTCCCGGGGCAGCAGGGGGCCTGGCGGGTAGGAGCGTTGGGCCAGTAACCGAAAGGTTGCTGGATCGAATCCCCGAGCTGACAAGGTAAAAGTCTGTCGTTCTGCACTTGAGCAACACCCACTGTTCCCCGGGCGCTGATGTCGATAAAGGCACCTCTCTTATTCAGAGGGATTGGGTTCAATGCGGAAGATGCATTCAGTTCTACAACTGACTAGGTATCCCCCTTTCCCAGATGACTAGTTTTTTTAAAATCATGAGCAAAACATATTTCACTTTATTTGGAACGCTAAACCAGAGAAAATTAAAACGTGCCAATTTATATAATGAGTTTGGGGGGAATTATTAAATATGAAGCATTAAACTAAAAGCTTCACTCATACAGAAGTTAAACTTAAACCCAAACTGGTTCTTCAGTAGATGATTAAAAAAGGTTCATATTTTGTTAAAAAATTGCCTTTTTGCCTCTATACAGATTACAACTTCTAATTTCCGACTAATTGAAAATGAAACTTTGTTTATAGTATAGCCCTTTCTTAAACAAGCCATACAAAGATGGTTACAATTTAAATGTTATCCTCCGGAAAAGATAGAACAAATATTACAACAAATATTATGGTTAAACTCAAATATACTGATTGATAAAAAAATATATATATATATTTATGAGGGTGTCACGGATTCTGCCGAGGCTGCCCCTCCTCCTTGCTCGGGCAGGCTTCGGCGCTCGTCGTCACCGGAGTACTAGCTACTGCCGCTCTATGTTCTATGTTCTACCTGTTGTTGTCTGATTGTCACACACCTGTTGCCCATTATGGTAATTACTCCTTCCCTATTTAACCCGGTGGCTCCCAATGTGTTTTGTGCGTGTTTGATTTTCGTTTCGTGTGTCGTTGGTGAGCGGGTTTGTTCCACCCTGTGTGGAGGGGTTCTGTATTGGTTTCTTTACTTCTACAGTAAAGAACGTTTCCTAGAGTTCTGTGTCCTGCGCCTGACTTCGATCCACCGCATTACACTGACACTCGTGACAATGGGAAAAATGTTTTTGTTTTTTTATGGTATTATATTTATTAATCATATTATGAATAGAAATGGTGGAGTTATGCCCACATATACAGCTATCAAAAATATATGGGAAACGTATAACCAACTGATTTCAGCATTACCACAGAAAATGGAGGAGGCAAGTGGAAAAGGGAGAAGGTAGGGAACGTGTTCGTCTGCCATATATTAAAGATACAAACTGGCTGAAAGGAATTAGCATAAATACAAAAATATACCGGTTTCATTTGAGGACAAAAATGTTGACACCTGTGCCATACAGGTTGCAAAATAAATGGGAAGAGATTTTCGATGTACCGATTTCATGGAACACGGTTTATGGACTGATACAAAAGACAACACTTGAAGTTTTTTCAATTTAAATTATTATACAAAATTCTTGCCACCAACAGAATGCTGTATATATGGGGCATTCAACAATCTCAGCTCTGTAGATTTGGCTGTGAAGAGACAGAATCACAAGATCATTTATTCTGGTATTGCCCCCATGTAGCTTGTTTCTGGTCATGGGTTCAGGAATGGTACATTCACTTAAAATTAACCTTACAAATAGCAGTGTTGGGCGATTTGGAAAGCCATAGTCAGTCAATAAATAATATAATAATACTTGAAGGAAAGATTTTCATCTTTAGCTCACAATCTGTGGATACTATGCGATTAGAAAGGTTCAAATGTCATGTAAAACATCACAGTACAATCGAAAAATATATGGCATATGGAAACCAAACAAGGGTGTTCTATGGTGATAGGTGGGATGGGCTGAGAGTGGCTGAGGGGTGGTGTATGGTGATAGGTGGGATGGGCTGAGAGTGGCTGAGGGGTGGTGTATGGTGATAGGTGGGATGGGCTGAGAGTGGCTGAGGGGTGGTGTATGGTGATAGGTGGGATGGGCTGAGAGTGGCTGAGGGGTGGTGTATGGTGATAGGTGGATGGGCTGAGAGTGGCTGAGGGGTGGTGTATGGTGATAGGTGGGATGGGCTGAGAGTGGCTGAGGGGTGGTGTATGGTGATAGGTGGGATGGGCTGAGAGTGGCTGAGGGGTGGTGTATGGTGATAGGTGGGATGGGCTGAGAGTGGCTGAGGGGTGGTGTATAGTGATAGGTGGGAAGGGCTGAGGGGTGGTGTATGGTGATAGGTGGGAAGGGCTTAGGGTGGTGTATGGTGATAGGTGGGGATGGGCTGAGAGAGGCTGAGGGGTGGTGTATGGTGATAGGTGGGAAGGGCTGAGGGGTGGTGTATGGTGATAGGTGGGAAGGGCTGAGGGTGGTGTATGGTGATAGGTGGGATGGGGCTGAGAGTGGCTGAGGGGTGGTGTATGTGATAGGTGGGATGGGCTGAGAGTGGCTGAGGGGTGGTGTATGGTGATAGGTGGGATGGGCTGAGAGTGGCTGAGGGGTGGTGTATGGTGATATGTGGGATGGGCTGAGAGTGGCTGAGGGGTGGTGTCTGGTGATAGGTGGATGGGCTGAGAGTGGCGGTGTAGTGTGATAGGTGGGAAGGGCTGAGGGGTGGTTATGGTGATAGGTGGAAGGGCTGAGGGGTAGGCTGAGGGGGGCGGAGAGTGGCTGAGGGGGTGGTGTATGGTGATAGGTGGGATGGGCTGAGAGGGGCTGAGGGGTGGTGTATGGTGATAGGTGGGATGGGCTGAGAGTGGCTGAGGGGTGGTGTATGGTGATAGGTGGGATGGGCTGAGAGTGGCTGAGGGGTGGTGTATGGTGATAGGTGGGATGGGCTGAGAGTGGCTGAGGGGTGGTGTATGGTGATAGGTGGGATGGGCTGAGAGGAGTGAGGGGTGTATGGTGATAGGTGGGAAGGGCTGAGAGTGGCTGAGGGTGGTGTATGGTGATAGGTGGGAAGGGCTGAGGGTGGCTGAGGGTGGTGTATGGTGATAGGTGGGATGGGCTGAGAGTGGCTGAGGGGTGGTGTATGGTGATAGGTGGGATGGCTGAGAGGGCTGAGGGGTGGTGTATGGTGATAGGTGGATGGCTGAGAGTGGCTGAGGGGTGGTATGGGGATAGGTGAGGTGAGGTGGGATGGGATAGGTGAAGGGCTGAGGGTGGTGTATGGTGATAGGTGGGATGGGCTGAGAGGGCTGAGGGGTGGTGTATGGTGATAGGTGGGAGGGCTGAGGGTGGAGTGATAGGGTGGGGCTGAGGTGGTGATAGGTGGATGGGCTGAGAGTGGCTGAGGGTGGTGTATGGTGATAGGTGGGATGGGCTGAGAGGGCTGAGGGGTGGTGTATGGTGATAGGTGGGATGGGCTGAGAGTGGCTGAGGGGTGGTGTATGGTGATAGGGGTGGATGGGCTGAGAGTGGCTGAGGGGTGGTGTATGGTGATGGTGGGATGGGCTGAGAGTGGCTGAGGGGTGGTGTATGGTGATAGGTGGGATGGGCTGAGAGTGGCTGAGGGGTGGTGTATGGTGACAGTGGTGGGAGAGGGCTGAGGGGTGGTGTATGGTGATAGGGGTGGGCTGAGAGTGGCTGAGGGGTGGTGTATGGTGATAGGTGGGATGGGCTGAGAGGCTGAGGGGTGGTGTATGGTGATGGTGGGAAGGGCTGATGGGTGGTGTATGGTGATAGGTGGGAAGGGCTGGGGTGGTGTTGGTGATAGGTGGATGAAGGGCTGAGGGGTGGTGTATGGGTGATAGGTGGGATGGGCTGAGAGTGGCTGAGGGTGGTGTATGGTGATAGGTGGGATGGGCTGAGAGTGGCTGAGGGGTGGTGTATGGTGATAGGTGGGATGGGCTGAGAGTGGCTGAGGGGTGGTGTATGGTGATAGGTGGGATGGGCTGAGAGTGGCTGAGTGGTGGTGTATGGTGATAGGTGGGATGGCTGAGAGTGTGAGGGTGGTGTATGGTGATAGGTGGGATGGGCTGTAGAGTGGCTGAGGGTGGTGGTATGGTGATAGGTGGGATGGGCTGAGAGTGGCTGATGGGGGTGTATGGTGAAGGTGGGATGGGCTGAGAGTGGCTAGGGGGGGTGTAAGGTGATAGTGGGATGGGTGAGCGGTGATGGTTTGATGGGGGTGGTGATGGTGATAGGTGGGATGGGGTGAGAGTGGCTGAGGGGTGGTGTATGGGATAGGTGGGATGGGCTGAGAGTGGCTGAGGGGTGGTGTATGGTGATAGGTGGGATGGGCTGAGAGTGGCTGAGGGGTGGTGTATGGTGATAGGTGGGAGGGCTTGAGAGTGGCTGAGGGGTGGTGTATGGTGATAGGTGGGTAAGGGCTGAGGGGTGGTGTATGGTGATAGGTGGGATGGGTGAAGGGCTGAGGGTGGTGGTATGGTGATAGTGTGATGGCTGGACTGGGGTGGTGTATGGTGATAGGTGGTGAAGGGCTGAGGGGTGGTGTATGGTGATAGGTGGATGGGCTGAAGTGCTGAGGGTGGTGTATGGTGATAGGTGGATGGGCTGAGAGTGGCTGGAGGGTGGTGTATGGTGATAGGTGGGATGGGCTGAGAGTGGCTGAGGGTGGTGTATGGTGATAGGTGGGATGGGCTGAGAGTGGCTGAGGGTGGTGTATGGTGATAGGTGGATGGGCTGAGAGTGGCTGAGGGTGGTGTATGTGATAGGTGGATGGGCTGAGAGGTGCTGAGGGGTGGGTTATGGTTGTTTGGTGGATGTGTTGAGAGTGCTTGAGGTTGTGTATGTGTACTCGTTGGGATGGGCTGGAGTGGCTGAGGTGGTGTATGGTATAGGTGGGATGGGCTGAGAGTGGCTGAGGGGTGGTGTAGGTGATAGGTGGATGGGCTGAGAGTGGCTTAGGGTGGTTGTATGGTATAGGTGGGATGGGCTTAGAGTGGTGAGGGTGGTGTATGTGATAGGTGGGACTGGCTTGAGAGTGGCTGAGGGTGGTGTATGGTATAGGTGGGATGGCTGAGAGTGGCTGAGGTGTGGGTAATGGTGATAGGTTGGATGGGCTTAAGTGGCTGAGGGGTGGTTAGTAGTAGTTACTGGCTGTTCGGTAGGGTTTGTTAGGTTATGCTGTAGCTGAGTACGCTCGTAGTGTAGGTTATGGTGTATAGGTAGTGTGCTTCAGGTTAGGTTCCGTAGGGCTGGTTAGATTAGGCGTTGTTCGACGTGTACGCTGTTCAGTTGACGCTGATTAGTCACCATGCTATGTAGCGTGTTTACGGTTTCGTGTTCACGTTACGCTGTATACGTTTCGCTGTTCAGCTTACGCTGTTAGTTTACGTGTCCTCCGTAACGTGCGGTTAGCTTTCACGTACCTTACAGTTACGTGTTCACGGTTACGCTGTTCACGGTTACGTTGTTCACGGTTACGCTGTTCACGCTTACGCTGTTCACGGTTACGCTGTTCACGGTTACGCTGCTTACGCTGTTCACTGTTACGCTGTTCACGGTTACGCTGTTCACGGTTACGTTGTTCACGCTTACGTTGTTCACGGTTATGTTGTTCACGGTTACGCTGTTCACGCTTACGCTGTTCACGGTTACGTTGTTCACGGTTACGCTGTTCACGGTTACGCTGTTCACGGTTACGCTGTTCACGGTTACGTTGTTCACGGTTACGTTGTTCACGCTTACGCTGTTCACGGTTACGCTGTTCACGCTTACGCTGTTCACGGTTACGTTGTTCACGGTTACGCTGTTCACGGTTACGCTGTTCACACTTACGCTGTTCACGGTTACGCTGTTCACGGTTACGCTGTTCACGCTTACGCTGTTCACGGTTACGCTGTTCACGGTTACGCTGTTCGCGCTTATGTTGTTCACGGTTACGCTGTTCACGGTTACGCTGTTCACGGTTACGCTGTTCACGGTTACGCTGTTCACGGTTACGCTGTTCGCGCTTATGTTGTTCACGGTTACGCTGTTCACGGTTACGTTGTTCACGGTTACGCTGTTCACGCTTACGCTGTTCACGGTTACGTTGTTCACGGTTACGCTGTTCACGGTTACGCTGTTCACGGTTACGCTGTTCACGGTTACGCTGTTCACTGTTACGCTGTTCACGCTTACGCAAAGAAACTAGACCAACCTTTTGATCCACCAACACCCTCTTACCTGGTTGAACCCCTCTTGCCCCCCTCCCTCGGGGAAGCCCAGACAGAGAGCGTTCATTTCCCCCTCCAGGAGAAGCCGGACCCCCTGGAAGCCCCCCGTCACCGGAGACATCAGCTCTTCCAAGATGGACGCCAGGTACGGAGACACGTTCTCACTGCAGAACTTTACTGCCGGGTCACTGACAGAGGCTATGGGGACGGAGACACGGAACAACGGATGTGAATGTTATGGGAATGGTTTTACAAGTTTAGATATAGTAACAACATGTCGGCTCCTCACAACTACTGTCCCAATAACTGTTGCTTTTTCATTCATTCAGTTCCCACAATATCCTATCTTGGATCCTAACGTGTTAAATCTTTGTTACTCTCTCCTTTACACCACAATTCATTATTGACCCATGCTTGACCCATTCTTGACCCAGGCTACTCCATCTGTAGATCCCCATCATCGTACTGCACCTTGTAGCTTGGCCTGTAGGAAGGCTCTAGAACTGGCTATCTGGTCCATATCAGAGCGAACCAGAGCTTCCTGAGACCTGGCTGTCTCTTTACACTCCTCCTTCAGAACCTTCAGACCATCCCTCAGCTGATCCAGGACCAGATGGTACGCGGCGTCCAACGTCTGGGGGGGACAACAGAACACAGCTGAGTACAGCATTATATAGACCCTCTGTTAGCTGATCCAGGACCAGCTTATAGGCTGCCTCCAATGTCTGAACATCGGGGGGGGGGGGGGAATAGAGCAGAGATCACTACAGGACTACAGAACTCAGAGCTGAAGAACCAGTTCACTATAGCATTACTGAAGGACTTTCTGAATAAAGGACAGTTCTGAGATGTTCAGTGACTCACAGAGAACCAAACCCTCTTCCTCTCTGCTTTCTTTCCCTTTAGTCTGGTCAGAAGTTCTGTCTGTAGAGAGGGTAGAAGCTCCTCCAAAACCAAATTGGTTAGGACCTGGAATACAGAAAGCCACGATGAGTTACAGCATACTGTGATCTGGACACAGTCCTGATCTACTTTACTACACAGCTGTAAGACAATGATACACACTACTGATCTACTGGTCTACTGATCTACTGGTCTACTGGTCTACTGGTCTACTGTTCTACTGGTCTACTGGTCTACTGGTCTACTGGTCTACTGGTCTACTGATCTACTGGTCTACTGGTCTACTGGTCTACTGGTCTACTGATCTACTGGTCTACTGAGCTACTGGTCTACTGATCTACTGATCTACTGAGCTACTGGTCTACTGATCTACTGATCTACTGGTCTACTGAGCTACTGGTCTACTGGTCTACTGATCTACTGGTCTACTGATCTACTGGTCTACTGGTCTACTGGTCTACTGATCTACTGAGCTACTCGTCTACTGGTCTACTGATCTACTGGTCTACTGATCTACTGGTCTACTGATCTACTGGTCTACTGATCTACTGGTCTACTGATCTACTGAGCTACTCGTCTACTGGTCTACTGAGCTACTGGTCTACTGATCTACTGGTCTACTGGTCTACTGATCTACTGGTCTACTGGTCTACTGATCTACTGGTCTACTGAGCTACTGGTCTACTGATCTACTGATCTACTGGTCTACTGGTCTACTGAGCTACTGGTCTACTGATCTACTGAGCTACTGATCTACTGATCTACTGATCTACTGATCTACTGATCTACTGGTCTACTGATCTACTGGTCTACTGGTCTACTGAGCTTATTGTTAACAACTTTGAATCGACATCCTGCTATAAACGTCTTTCCTTTGTCTCTTTGTGATGAGACACGCAGAGAGACTGCTGTCCAACCCAAACAATGTCTGAGTCTGAAGCAGAAGTGTTTCCTTGGTCTCTGACTGAGCTTTCTTAGTTGGACCAACCGGTAATCAGCTCTTTGTTTAACGCACACACACACACACACACACACACACACACACACACACAGAGAGGAGCTTCCTCTGTTCTGATGAGACACAGACAAGGGTCTACTATGGTGTTCATGTTGGCATGTCATCACAGGACAACTAATAGTTCCCTGGTTAGTCTATTCTAAGAAAATAGGACTGGTTCCCTGTTTATACCTGACTCTGGTTCCCTGTTTATACCCGACTCTGGTTCCCTGTTTATACCCGACTCTGGTTCCCTGTTTATACCCGACTCTGGTTCCTTGTTTATACCCGACTCTGGTGCCTTGTTTATACCCGACTCTGGTTCCCTGTTTATACCTGACTCTGGTTCCCTGTTTATACCCGACTCTGGTTCCCTGTTTATACCCGACTCTGGTTCCCTGTTTATACCTGACTCTGGTGCTCTGTTTGCCCTGTTTATACCCGTCTCTGGTGCCCTGTTTATACCCGACTCTGGTTCCTTGTTTATACCCGACTCTGGTTCCCTGTTTATACCCGACTCTGGTTCCCTGTTTATACCCGACTCTGGTTCCCTGTTTATACCTGACTCTGGTGCTCTGTTTGCCCTGTTTATACCCATCTCTGGTGCCCTGTTTATACCCGACTCTGGTGCCCTGTTTATACCCATCTCTGGTGCCCTTTTTGCTCTGTCTATACCTGACTCTGGTGAATGTGTGAATGAGACTACCTAAACCATATAAACTGGAATAACTATTTCAGTAACGGGTGCAATAAATCCAACTAACAGATTGGATCAGTTTATACAAAAAATGTATGTTATTTATCTTTATGGATTAATATATCAATGTACATGCAAAAACACAGATATTGAAACAAACAATTCAAAAAATCAAACTGCAATAGAGCATGCTGGGAAATATGATAATGCTGGGCGTGGTTTAGCAAACCATCAACATTCTGATTGCTTGGGAGACAACCTCACTTGGGATTTGAACTCCCAAGCTCTCAGTTGCCAATAACCTGAATGACCTGCTACGCCACTGGATCTGTGGGTATGATAGAGATTGTTAAAAGATTAGAACCAATAGACATTCTGTCATTTGTCCCTTTGGGGGAAACTTTTGGGTGCCACATTGAACCATTAAATATTTTAGAACCTTTTCACAAGGAAACTTTGTGGGTTCTTTGTTTTGTCCCTGTAGGGGAACCCTTTTGAGTTCCAATTAGAACCCTCTCAGGAAGAACCCTCTGGTTCCAGGTAGAACCAGTGCCTTCAGAAAGTATTCACACCCCTTGACTTTTTCCACATTTTGTTGTGTTACAGCCTGAATTTAAAATGGATTAAATTGAGATTTTGTGTCACTGGCCTACACACAATACCCCATAATGTCAAAGTGGAATTATCTTTTTAGAAATGTTTACAAATTAATTAAAATTTAAAAGCTGAAATGTCTTGAGTCAATAAGTATTCAACCCCTTTGTTATGTCAAGCCTAAATAAGTTCAGGAGTGAAAATGTGCTCAACAAGTCACATGTGTGCAATAATAATGCTTACATTTTTTTTTTATGACTACCTCATCTCTGTATCCCACACATACATTTATCTGTAAGTTCCCTCAGTTGAGCAGTGAATTTCAAACATAGATTCAACCACAAAGACCAGGGAGATTTTCCAATGCCTTGCAAAGAAGGTCACCTATTGAAAAAAAGCAGACATTGAATATCCCTTTGAGCATGGTGAAGTTATTAATTACACTGTGGATGGTGTATTAATACACCCAGTCACTACAAAGATACAGGCGTCCTTCCTAACTCAGTTGCCGGAATGGAAGGAAACCGCTCAGGGATTTCACCATGAGGCCAATGGTGACTTTAAAACAGTTACAGAGTTTTTAATGGCTGTGATAGGAGAAAACTGAGGATGGATCAACAACATTGTAGTTACTCCACAATACTAACCTAAATAACAGAGTGAAAAGAAGGAAGCCTGTACAGAATACAAATATTCCAAAACATGCATCCTGTTTGCAATAAGGCACTAAAGTAAAACTGCAAACAAATGTGGCAAATAAATTAACTTTATGTCCTGAATACAAAGTGTTATGTTTGGGGCAAATCCAACACATCACATCACTGAGTACTACTTTTAAATCTTCAATTATTGCGGTGGCTGCATCATGTTATGGGTATACTTGTCATTGGCAAGGAGTAGGGAGTTTTTCAGGATAAAAATAAACGGAATAGAGCTAAGCACAGGCAAAACCCTAGAGGAAAACCAGGTTCAGTCTGCTTTCCAACAGACACTGAGAGACAAATTCACAGTTCAGCAGGACACAATAACCTAAAGCACGAAGCCAAATATACACTGGAGTTGAAAATCTATGGCAAGACTTGAAAATGGCTGTCTAGCAATGATCAACAACCAACTCTACAATTGAAGAATGTAAAAAATAATAATGTGCAAATATTGTACAATCCAGGTTTGGTCTTGTAGCCCATTCCAGCCTTGTGTATGTCTACAATCTTGTCCCTGACATCCTTGGAGAGCTCTTTGGTCTTGGCCATGGTGGAGAGTTTGGAATCTGATTGATTGATTGCTTCTGTGGACAGGGGTCTTTTATACAGGTAACAAGCTGAGCTTAGGAGCACTCCCTTTAAGAGTGTGCTCCTAATCTCAGCTCGTTACCTGTATAAAAGACACCTGGGAGCCAGAAATCTTTCTGATTGAGAGGGGGTCAAATACTTATTTCCCTCATTCAAATGCAAATCAAATTTATAACATTTTTGACATGCGTTTTTCTGGATTTTTTTGTTGTTATTCTGTCTCTCACTGTTCAAATAAACCTACATTAAAATTATAGACTGATCATTTCTTTGTCAGTGGGCAAACATACAAAATATGCAGGGGATCAAATACTTTTTTCCCTCACTGTACAATACCAGTCAAAAATTTGGACACACCTACTCATTCCAGGGTTTTTCTTAATTTGTACTATTTTCTACATTTTAGAATAATAGCAAGCTCGACAGGTTCCCGCGCCTCAGCAGAGGTGACTGGCCCCCGGGTCTCAGGAACTGTTCTGCCCGTGGTCCTCGGGACCGTCCCTCTGGTCGGCGTCGTCCTGCGGCTCCTCAGCTGGCTCGACAGGCTCCCGTGCCTCGGCTGGTTCGACAGGTTCCCGTGCCTCGGCTGGTTCGACAGGTTCCCATGCCTCGGCTGGTTCGACAGGTTCCCGTGCCTCGGCTGGTTCGACAGGTTCCCGTGCCTCGGCTGGTTCGACAGGTTCCCATGCCTCGGCTGGTTCGACAGGTTCCCGTGCCTCGGCTGGTTCGACAGGTTCCCGTGCCTCGGCTGGTTCGACAGGTTCCCGTGCCTCGGCTGGTTCGACAGGCTCCCGTGCCTCGGCTGGTTCGACAGGTTCCCGCGCCTCGGCTGGTTCGACAGGTTCCCGCGCCTCGGCTGGTTCCTGCGCCTCGGCTGGTTCGACAGGTTCCCGCGCCTCGGCTGGTTCCCGCGCCTCGGCTGGTTCGACAGGTTCCCGCGCCTCGGCTGGTTCCTGCGCCTCGGCTGGTTCGACAGGTTCCCGCGCCTCGGCTGGTTCCTGCGCCTCGGCTGGTTCGACAGGCTCCCGTGCCTCGGCTGGTTCGACAGGTTCCCGTGCCTCGGCTGGTTCGACAGGTTCCCGCGCCTCGGCTGGTTCGACAGGTTCCCGCGCCTCGGCTGGTTCGACAGGTTCCCGCGGCCGTCTCCCGGGTCTCAGGAGAAGCGACTTATCCGCCCCTGGTCCTCGTGACCGTCCCTCTGGTCGGCGTCAGGGGGGGTACTGTCATGTCTACTCCCACTCCCCCTCTCTGGTTCTCGAGGTCGCCAGTTGACTGTTCATTACCACCTTCTTCTTCTGTGGATTTTATGGCGGACTACATCCAAAAGTTGTATTTCCGCCACCAACTGGACAGTTTGAAACCAAAAATAAAATGTTAATAAATAAATCCATACTTAATAGTGATCTAACAATCCACCCTAATTAAAATAGTACAATGCCAAAACAAACAAAACTCCCACTTCCTCCTTCTTTTAGTTCTCCATATCTCCCTTCTCAGGCTCGAGGCTTTTGCTAATATTCCATGTAACTCCTTTGCTGTGAAATCTTTCAGCCCCAGGAACCGCTCCGCCGCAATCACATATCTTTTCTCCACCTTGGCTGTGCAATTTATCGCTAAAGGCCACAAAGTCCACCTTTTTAACCTTTAAAATGTCAGGATCCCCTTGGTGTAAGCCAAGGCCTATCCACCACCATGGACTCTTCAGGAGCTCCATTCAAACCCTCAACCCTTTTAACAGCTGCTGCATATTAAATGCTCTGGACAGCCCTGACTTTGGCCACCTCATTCTCTTTCGCCCTTGTGGGGCATTCAGAAGACGTGGCTTCCTGGTTCCCACCGCAATTGTCACATTTTCTTCACTTTTATAACACATAATATGATATTTTCCACATCTTGGACATCTCGGCTTCTCCCTTCTGCAAACACTTGAAACATGACCAAAAGCTTTACAGTGATCACACTGCATTGGTCTTGGGATAAATGCTCTGACTCTGTAGTTAATATACCGTAACTGCACTTGAGTAGGGAGAGAGTCCATTTAAAAAAACTAAAGAACAGACTTTTTCTCCATTCACCCCCCGACGTGCTTCAATCACTCCAGGAATATTTTTCATCTCTTCCAAATCAACTTCCCACGAAACGGCAGATATAACCCCCTTGAGGGGTGCCCTGTTCCGAAGCGACACACACAACACTTCAGACTTCGATTAAGACCCAACGCACGTTCCTTCTGATCCACAGAATCACAAACAATCTAAACAATCCCGCCTCTCGTGATCCTCACAGCCTTCACTTTACCCAGCACTCTCTCCACCAGTTTGGATAACTCAAATGGTTTCTTTACCCAGCACTCTCTCCACCAGTTTGGATAACTCAAATGGTTTCTTTGCTGTACCTATGTTATATCGGAAAAAGTCTGTTAAATTCTTGGTTAAAAACAAGTTATCATCCAATAGGCTTTGATTACATTTCCAATATCCTCAGCCCACGTGGAAATTCTGTAAGAGTTACGTATATGCCAATTATTTGATGGTCCGACCGCATTCTGTCTCCCATCAACACTTTTTAAACTTTTGGTGCCAGCGAGAATAACATAAGAAAGAAGTCAAGATGCTTGAGGGTCGCTAGCATTAGTGGATCATATTAGGATAACGTTGTGCAATCATTTGGGACATTTTTGAATCATTATGGAACTCAGACCACACGTTAAACCTATAGATATATTCTATTGAATATTCTGAACCCGTTCTATCTATATACACTGAGTGTACAAAACATTAGGTATACCTGCTTTTTCCATGATATTGACTGACCAAGTGAATCCAGGTGAAAGCTATGATCGCTTATTGATGTCACTTGATAAATCCACTTCAATCAGTGTAGATGAAGGGGAGGTGACAGGTTAAAGAAGGATTTTTAAGCCTTGTGACAGTTGAGACATCGATTGTGTATGTGTGCCATTCAGAGGGTGAATGGGCAAGTGCTTTTGAAAGGGGTATGGTAGTAGGTGCCAGG